ATACTGATATAATGTTTATGATATGCTTATATTCTCTATAGTGTGAATACTTTATTGTACACACGTTTAACTTGTTCCAAAAATATATATATATATATATATAATTTGAAAACAACTAAAGTGTGTGCTGTTTATTCATCATTGAATTTATTGCTAACAAGTCACAGACATTTACTGTAGAAAAATCCTATAGCCAACAACTACATAGTGTATATTTATACTATTAAGAAATATTAGTAAAAGCCATTTATTTCGACAATTGGCAAAAAAAAAAAAAACCAGAACCCATATACATATATAGTATTATTTTTTTTAAATCTGCCAGTCATCATAATCATAAAAGCCAAGAGTCAATCGGTCAAATTCAATTTCTCTGAATTTCATGAGTCCAATTCCACTTTTCCTCCTATAATAATTCCTCTTTTGATTGTCCATTTTAGTTAATTTAATTGCTAACACAGGCGTAAATAGCTCCTAAATTTCATCACTTTTTCTGCTATACACATGAAAGTGCATTCACACCCAATCAATACCTGTGAAAAATAAGTAAAACATTTGCATAAATCTATTATTGGATATTATTATGAAAAATCCTTTGTTAAAACAGATTGAAGATACTAATTATCTGTAGAGAAGAGAACAATGCATAACTGGATGACACCTCAACACAAACTGAACATGCATCTGTGGTTGAAGGATGCCTGCCGTGCATCATAGAACAGCGGGTGACAACTAAAGTTGAGGGAAATCTTTAAGAAATCATAATTTGTATCTTGTGTGTTTTTGTATACAATGTTTTTAATCACTAATCAAATAAAGTTAAGCAAGCTACAAGTATTTTGTATTCCTGTCTTAACAGCTAAAAATAAAAGAGGTGAAGCTAGGCTTGGAACAGGCTAACTTACAATTTGAACACATGCCAGATCCTCCACGTGAAAACCATGGATGTCATGCAACACCTGAATTCTTGTAACCAAATTAATTTCTGAGTGACAATTTCTTCAAAACATGTAAATTCTTGTCTAGAATTGTAATGGCACGATTATTTTGAGAAAATAAAAAAAACTGTAGATAATTGAGGCACTAGTGTAGCCTACATTTCCCAGTACAAACCGTAATGAAGTTAGGTTAGGCACACCTGGCTCCTGAGTTTTTTGGCTGGCTCCTAGATCTGAAAATATTTCTTGAGGTCTGCATCAAATGTTATGCACGAGGGTTACTCTTTGTTTTGTAAATGTTATTTAATATAATATTTTATAACAATAATTATATCATATTAGGTTCAAGTATGTTAGATTCTGTAAAGAAAACAATCACAAATTTATAGAAGCATTCAACCATTTTGTAAACTTTCTTTAGGCATATATATGGAGGTTAGCTTGTTTCCAACACTATACGCACTGCATGATAATGCTTTAGTTATTTGTCATTTCACCCCTTTGCCATACTGTGTTGAGGTTAACTTTACTGATAAGAAGGTCATGTTATAAGAGCAAAAATTTCAAACTGAGAAAATGCACACACATTCAGTGATTAGCTTAGCTTTCTTTCTAAATTGGTTGAATTATTTTTGTGGTATTTTACAAGTGGCACCTAATATGTTCAATTGCTTTTGTTTTTTTAGTGCATGTATATTAACTATATAGTAATTCCAAGTTTGACAGTTATTTCTGTGATACACAGTAAATGCAGGTGCTTGGAAAAATGCAACCCTCAGGTCAGTATTAGAAATGTGATCGCATTCATGCATCTTAAAATGAAACACTGATTTAACTTTTTTTTAACCCTGCTTAAAATTTCTTGCTTGATAGTTTTTTGAAGTTCTGCATCAGCTGTACATGCACCTAGTTTACATTTCCTCAGATTTAGCAATACTAACTTTATTATCTCTGATATGAATTACAAAAATAGCATCTTTAGTTTCTGCCACAAAAAACATCCTCACCCCTTAAACCAGTTTTAGATATGATTTGAATTGATGCTTTGGTGCAAAAAACAAAACCTCAACTTGTTACCTGAGAAGTAATTCATAGTGTAGAATGTTTGGACAGTTTTAAGAGAAACTAAGCATAATGTACATACAGTATGTCCTGTAGAATGATAACCATATGTTAACAATTTAAAGTTATAAAACACTATAGTGAAAATAAAATAGTTAACATTAGTTGTTATGAAAATAATGCAAGCAAGTAAAATGTAACGAAAAAAGCCATTTTAATTGAATGAGAGAAAGGTTTTGTGTATATTGATTTTAAATTCACTGGGTTATTTATATGACAGCATCTGGAAGGTCAGATGTTTTTTTTCGATGGGCTATTTTCTGTGAAGATGGGCAAAATCTTGAACAGATGTTCAACAAAACAGGCAAAAATATGAAATTAACTACAGTACAACCAAAATATTGTTACGTATCCGTTTGTTAATTAACTTTCCGTAACTTCGTTCCGACGAAACTTTAGCGACACAAGTTCTTTACTTAATAAAACTGGTTTATTCTTTCCGAATACAACTTTACCGATACACTTAACTTCAACAATCGCGCTAAACAAAGGCTATAACAACGAACGTGCTCAATAATACTTCTGACTGCAGATCAATTACTCACTGTCTATACACACATTACCTTCTTCTCGCGTCACGTTGTCCCCTCTTATATATACCCGCCTACCCTATCTAGTAAATACTAGAGCATTCATGAAAAAACAAGATAGTTCTAGAAAATAGAGGGCGCCACACCAGTCACGTGACCTCGATGACGCAACAATATGTTTGCCTACAATACAGGAAATTAAAAATATCTTTTTTTTCCTTACCATTTAATAAAGTATTTGATTCCTTCTGTTGATCCTTCATCACGCTTCATGTATTGTTTACAAGTATTTATGTCAGTTAGTACTTTGACAGTTTTTGCTTTAGTGTTTATGGTACAAAATGGTAATCTAACCATGATTAAATGTAATAGTAAATTCAAACTGAAATTGGACTTCATTTCTGGAAATATTGCAAATGGCAGTTTTTGAGTGAAAACGTTTTAACTTTCTCAAACAAGAGGGGTGTCAGTGATATCCCCTGATTTGCTTCTCACAATGATGATATTCAACCAAATTGCATGAAACTTCACAACAACTTATTAGATAGTGTTTACTTTTGGCTTCAAAACTTCATATAACGTGATTGTAGTATTTCTATTATTTTTAAGTTGTGAGTTTTCCAAAATTTTATCGTGAGACACTGTTTTTTAAGAAAATTAAAATAGTTCTTTTCATCTTAGAATTTCGATTTTTTTATCATTGATCAGAAAGTTCCATATATCTAATCAGTTTCAACTAGATTAATATTTATTAATATATTATTGTTTATCCTTTATTTTGCTGATTATAGTAGTCACTTCTTCCAGTTATAAACCGAAAGAAAATGCAAAAACTAATGATTGTTGGTGATCCTAGACCTTATTTTTCAAAGTGATTCACCGTTATCTTTGTCAGGCTAGGTAGCAATGTTTTTGCTAACACTACTTTCTGATACAATATATGTTACTTCCCCTTGCATTTATAGCTATTTTTGTTCAGTGCTGCTCTCTATATATACAAAAATGTTTTTGTATGCTATAAGCCTTGAACTTCCACTTATCCCACAATCATTGTGGTTCATCTGCATCTTGCATGTAAATCATCATGTGATAACCCTCCATCAGTAGGAGTGTGACACACCCTTCTGATGAATATGACTCTTCCTATTTGTTTCTGCTGAACTATCACTTTTTGTTAGGCAGTGATCTAGTGCAGATGGTTTTTTGATTGTGCTCTCTTCACATGTTTTTCTTTAATATTTCTGTGAAGTAGGGGTATCATTTCAATATTTTACTAATTTATTTCTGTAGTTTGACACGATAACTTAGCTTTCTTTTTTCTTCTTATTCTTCACCATTCATATGACCACTTTAGATTTTATTCCACCTGCTTTCAGCACAATTACATAGGCTTCGTATCAGGGGACATAAACTGAGGAATTTTTGGCTGATTGATTGATATATGACCCACCCTTCTTCTTGCAATATTGCTTGACTTCTTCATGAATCTGCCAAACCTGTTTATGACAAAGAGGATTTTGACAGCCCTTTTCTTCACCTAACTATACCGTGCCTTCCAAAACCTCTCCTTTGGAATCTGTTTGACCTAACTCAGTCTTTTTAGATATGATTTCTCAGGTGTGGTCATTTTTATCTATTTTCCTGATTTCTTATGATCCTGTTCCTTCGTTATTACATGACATCCCTTCCTCAGAGTATTTTGTTTTCCTACCTTTTCCTGACATCAGGGTTCATGCTAAGCATTTCATTTCTCAATTGAGAACAGCTGCTAGCATGCCTCGTCCTCCATGGGCCTTGAATCATTTTGCTTTGGCTTATTATGAGGCTGATCAACCTTTTCTTGATTCTCAACAGTTGGAGTCACTTTTGTCTGTATGGGGGATTGACCCTGAAATCCTCTCCATTTATCCCACCCACAGTTTTACTACGTTTGTTTTACCCTTAGTGCTCTTCTACGGCATTTGTCCACCATACATCTTTCTGAAACACTCCAACAACCTCCTGAGGGGTTTTTGAGATATATCTTCTCTCTCTTATTACTTCCATGTTGGTGTGATTGTTCTCTTAGGCTCTATCCCCTCACGAGTGGTTTCTTTGATGTTATGATCTTCTGGGGAGGTATGCTGTCTTGTTCCAGGTTCATTTACCAGCCACTTATCTTCAGGACTTATGGATGTCTCCTTTTCTCCACCAGTCCATTTTGGGGGATATTAAGGAGTCTTTTGGAATCTGTGAGGCAATATTTGGCCCTTTCTTCTTTGGTTGCATGTTTGCTTCATTCTGAGCCCTTACAAACTCCTGTTCCTCGTCCTGTACCCTCCTGTCATTTACCTTATCCCTGAAGACTTATTTCCTTCTCCTGTTAGCCAGCTTTCTTCCGTGGTTCTTATTCGCTCCTTTTCATCCCCTAGCAACATTCCTCTGTTCGTGACCTTTCCACCCTTACCAGTTGGGTTTTGGCTTTTATTCAATTTCCATATTCATCCTTGTCTCCTTCTTTCCAAAATCTGTTCACATCAGATATGGCACCTTACCTGATTGATCCCTGGCATTTTATCTCCATTGTTTGTTGGTGGATGTTCTTCAGTTGAGCATGTGGACTACACCTCATATGTTCACTTTCTGCATTGGGTGGCTGTTTTTCTCGTCAGGGTTCTGTCTTTTACATGTTGCCAGCCTTCAAACTTCAGTGAGGCTGTGACTGGGTAAGTTATTTTTGTTTATATATATCTTAATTTCTTTCAATGGCATTTCCCTTTTTTTTCATTATGGATTCCACTATGGTGAGTGTTACCTGTCCAGGTATGCTTCTTACATCTCAAATCTGCACTGTATGACCAAGAAGACATAATAGTAAAATAATATGCACATGCTGTTAAGATGGGGTTTTCCACAAGATTGCTAGTGGTTTTTTCCTCACAATATTTTTGCTTCATTAATATGCCTGTTCTGGACTCTCCACAGTGTTTTGTTTCCACTTGTTCTTCTATTGGAGTATGGGAGCCCTTGCCTCTTTCAAGTTCTGAGCCATTGCAGTGGTGGACCTTGGAGCAATCCTCCTGAATGTATTCACTTCCATTCAGTAGATGGTAGGGCAGTGATGTTCTACTGGTGTAGCTGGTGTGTGATTCTCCAATCATGCACTCCACCTCTGAGTTTTCTCCACTCTTGGAGAAAAGGGCGAATTTGGGGACCCTCCTACCTGGGTCCCTGGAAGTTTTCCCAGATGTCGGTAGGAGCAGGACCAACCTATGTGGGAGCCTACTTATAAAACTGTTCCAGATTTGATGCTTAGCTATCTGGTGGGGTTGTGCTTGGACACTCTTATGAACACTGTCAGGTCTTAGGTTGTTCAATTAGGTGGTCCACTATCTCCTCGTAAGTGCCATCGCAACGTGGTCCCATCTTAGGCCCTTGGTGGAACAGTGTTCTATGTCCTCTGTATAATTCCATGGGTACGTGGAATTCTCCTTGCCCACTTGGTTGGGGAGTAAAAATGAGTTCTAGACCTTAGGTGGAGTATTGCATAAATGATCCCTTCAATCCAAGCCTGGGATCTTTTAGACTTCTTCAGGTTGATCAGAAGGATTGTCCACTTTGTTGTTGCTTTCTTTCTTTCATAAATTTGGTTGTTTGAAAGGCATCATACTGTGGCTACTGTGATACTGTGGATAGTATCACAAAGATATGTATATATTTGTGGTCCATCTGACCTTGCCACCAATGGGGGATATGGGTTCCATGACCCCTTAAATCCAGCCTTTAGTCGTGGAACCTCGGCTGCATGGTTGGAGCTGACCCATCATACTTACTTGTATAATATCCCACCCTTTTCACTTTTCTGTAGTTCTGGGTGTAGAGCATACCTGTTCTGGATGTAGTGCGGTTTTCCCTGCTTAGGTACCACCCTCCCCCTTCTCAATGTGGGATTCTAGGTATAAGTGTCAGCGGAGGTAAGTATGTTTGGAAATACATTTTCAGATTAGGAAAATGATTATGTTTTGGAAGTTACCATTTTCCTAATCTGAAAATGTTTTTCCAAACATACTTACCTCTGCTGACACTTATACCTAGAATCCTACATTGAGAAGGCCTTCGATGGTTTTATTGTCTTGAAATTTTTGCATGTTCTTCTGTAATTTCTGTATGCTGAATACGAAAATATCTATTTTTCTCCACTACATACAGATTTTTCACAAAACATCATATGTATTTTTACATAAGTGAATCATTTTCATTAAAATCGGGTCACATTTTGTTATGCTTAAAATTTTGACAACCACTGGCTATAGATTTCTCTAGACCAATTGTGCTGTGAGAGTCTTATTGATCATACTAGAATGCACGAGAAACACACCACTAGTATATAAATGGTTAACAGGCCACATGACATGTCATTTCTGGATAGTATTTGTTTGTGTGTGCACTTTGACATTATTTTTCTCTTTTCAATATTATTTATTCATTGCTATGGCAACAAGAGGTTGTGTAAATGACCAAAACATATTTGTTATATTTGTGGTAAATTTGTTGTAAAGTAATAAAGACAAAGCATTACAGAATTCATCAAAAAGTATATTATGCATATTTTGGAATAAAACTTGGGACCAAGATAAATTATGGGCTCCTCACAAAGTTTTCACCATTTGTGTCAAAGAATTGAGACAATGGACTAATGGTACGAAAAAGTCTTTGCCTTTTGGAATTTCAATGGTCCGTTGTGAGCCTAGAAAACACAGAGATGACAGCTATTTTTGCTCATGTAACATGTAAGGCTACAACACTTGAAATAAAAAGGAAATTTCTTATCTAAACCTTCAGTCTGCTATAAGACCTGTTCCTCATGGACCTGATGTACCTATACCTACTCCACCGGTGACTGTTGATACTGTTTCATCTGATTCTGAATCTGATGTCAATGGAAATGATGATAGGGATTGTTTTCAACCTGAAATGTTTGGTGAACCACAACTTTTCACACAAGGTGAACTTCATGATGTGATGAGAGGTTTGAGCCTTCCAAAGGATTCTTCAGAGAATTTGGGGGTCCAGACTTCAGGCTAAAAACTTACTTTCTCCAGGTACATCATTTTACTGGTACAGAAATTGTGATAAAG